TGATATGCTCTGCTCCTGGGAGGGGGGGTTAGGGTGGCAGCCTTGGGTGATGGTGACAGGCTCCCTTCCTGTGAGATGTATATACACATTGATCTGATGGTGTAACTACTTATTGTAATCAGGGACGGATATCTTAGGACAGGAGAAGGTAAGTGAGAGCCACCATCCTGTCTACCATGACGCAATCGTTCCATGTGTGTCCGACGTGTGTGTCACTCCCATTCTTGTTGTGGTATGGGCTCATTTTGTGTCCCGCATGGAGTCTGCAGATCAGAGTTGCCGAGGTCTTTGCCGTGGTGATTGGATTGTAACGGTTCCTTGTCAAGCTTTGAGATATTCTGCCATCACGCCTTCACCTGGTCTAGGAGGCGAATGACAGACGGAGGCGTTTTGATCCTGTCGAGGGTTACGTTTGTACTGGAGACGGCATGTCGGCGTGCTCATCGATCTGAATGAAGCCCACATGCGTGCCTCTTGCATGTGGCTGTGCCTGTCTCCATTCCCGTCCTCATGCCATGCTGGGGGATTTTTGTACCGTGGTGTATGTGGGAGATTCCTGTTTGTAAGCATCCTGTGGTGACTAGACCAAGCATAGGTCCATAGTAGATGGCATGTATAATGGAATAGTCGGCATATCCTAATACTGAGTAGTAGGACCTCTCATAGGTCACTATGCAGTCCAAGCAGAGCGTTGTCTTTTTTGTTGTTGAAGATTTTCCAGTTATTAAAGTGTCAGGGTGTAAGCTTTGCCATCTGACAGTAGGGTCGGGCCAGGCAGGAGCTAGTGAGATAGTGTACCCAGTCTCAGGTTGATGTGAAGAGCCATTCACATTACAGCACACGTTATAAGCGCATGTCATGGTAAAGTACTGCATGCGTGTGTGCTGACGTCCTTGCAGCTATTGCTTAGAAGGCACAGCCCTTCCCCTTTGATTTTTACACCGCAGTTTACTTGGAAGCAGCACAGTGGATCTAAAGAGTAAAAAAGGTGATTCTACTTTTTGCGTGGGCGCCATCCTCTGCGATATGCGTTAGTCTGTAGCCGTGGTGAGACGCATTGGACGTAGATTAGTGTTGGCATCATCGTGGATCTGTGTCACTTGTGAACAGGAGTCATTCATCTCCATTCATTGTAAAGATATATGCCACATCTCCCTGTGTTCTCTGAGGAATGATCGTCCCCCCCTTCATCCCCTGCGATCTGCCATCCATGCCAGCTGTGGCCTGTCCTTTATCATTATGTAGCTGTGACAGTCAGGATGATTTCTCTGCAATGACCCCTGTTGTGTCGTTGTGTTGTGAATGTGTTCTAGGTTCTATATTGGCTGTGAGCTTTGTGCTAACTGGTATCACGGAGATTGTGTTGGCATCACAGAGGCGGAAGCCAAGAAAGTGGATGTGTACATCTGTAATGAGTGTAAACGGTCACAAGAGGGCAGCAGTGAGGAGTTGTATTGTATCTGCAGGACGCCCTATGACGATTCACAGTGAGTTCCCGTGATAACTTCTTATGCACTAACTAGACAGCGCTCGCTGGTCCTGTGCGGTAGATGCTTTGTCTCGTGCCTTACCTTATTAACCCGGCCAGAGCATGCTCTCACCCCTTTCCTGCCAGCTGGTGCAGGTCTGCCAATCCCGGGTCCCCTCTGGTAGTTAAGGATCTTTTATATATGATGCATGTTTTCTGGACTGATAACTTCTAAGCATCATATCTATTATCTGCTTCCTGTCTGGGGAAACAAGCTACGGAATGGCTTCCATCCTCTGGGGGCTTCGGTGGCCTCTGCTGTCTGGCTATGTGTCCTGCCACTCCAGCTGTATCCAGCTTTGTGTAGGGAGCACTGTTCCTGCACCTTAGACGCTCCTTTAGAAATCTTACCATACTTCCTGTACTGTGTTGTGTGTATCTCTCTTCTCTATGCCTGCCGTGTCTTTACTGATGTCTGTTTGGTGTGTGCGCAGATTTTATATCGGCTGCGATCGCTGCCAGAACTGGTACCACGGTCGCTGCGTTGGGATAGTGCAGAGCGAGGCGGAGTTCATAGACGAGTATGTGTGCCCGCAATGCCAGTCCACTGAGGATGCCATGACTGTTCTCAGCCCGCTGACCGATAAGGATTACGAAGGACTGAAACGCTTCCTGAGATCGCTGCAGGTAGGTCCATGACCGTGACGGAGCCATGTTGTTTTGCTCTACTTAGAGGCTGTGATAATGTTAAAGGTGACGACTTGTATGTTCTGGTCCAAAGAAGATTCCCTACCCTGTAGGTCTGAGCCTAGGGGTGACTCTGGACTTCATCTACATTCTCCTATCTGGTCCTCTAAGCTCATCTATGCAAGACTCTCATTTCTGCTGCTGGGTTTGTGTTATCGCCCTGTTGGTCTCAGCATTGCGGCACTATTCGTTAATGGATTCTGAGCCTAGGGGTGACTCTGGACTTCATCTACATTCTCCTATCTGGTCCTCTAAGCTCATCTATGCAAGACTCTCATTTCTGCTGCTGGGTTTGTGTTATCGCCCTGTTGGTCTCAGCATTGCGGCACTATTCGTTAATGGATATTCATAAATGAGTATATTAGGGCTGCGGAAATTAAAGATTCATTTCTCGATTAATCGTTAAACTTTTTGATCAATTTAAAATTATTTTGATCGCTAATGAAAACACTCGCCTCTCCGCCGGCTTCCGGGATGTGGTGATTGGATTGTAACGGTTCCTTGTCAAGCTTTGAGATATTCTGCCATCACGCCTTCACCTGGTCTAGGAGGCGAATGACAGACGGAGGCGTTTTGATCCTGTCGAGGGTTACGTTTGTACTGGAGACGGCATGTCGGCGTGCTCATCGATCTGAATGAAGCCCACATGCGTGCCTCTTGCATGTGGCTGTGCCTGTCTCCATTCCCGTCCTCATGCCATGCTGGGGGATTTTTGTACCGTGGTGTATGTGGGAGATTCCTGTTTGTAAGCATCCTGTGGTGACTAGACCAAGCATAGGTCCATAGTAGATGGCATGTATAATGGAATAGTCGGCATATCCTAATACTGAGTAGTAGGACCTCTCATAGGTCACTATGCAGTCCAAGCAGAGCGTTGTCTTTTTTGTTGTTGAAGATTTTCCAGTTATTAAAGTGTCAGGGTGTAAGCTTTGCCATCTGACAGTAGGGTCGGGCCAGGCAGGAGCTAGTGAGATAGTGTACCCAGTCTCAGGTTGATGTGAAGAGCCATTCACATTACAGCACACGTTATAAGCGCATGTCATGGTAAAGTACTGCATGCGTGTGTGCTGACGTCCTTGCAGCTATTGCTTAGAAGGCACAGCCCTTCCCCTTTGATTTTTACACCGCAGTTTACTTGGAAGCAGCACAGTGGATCTAAAGAGTAAAAAAGGTGATTCTACTTTTTGCGTGGGCGCCATCCTCTGCGATATGCGTTAGTCTGTAGCCGTGGTGAGACGCATTGGACGTAGATTAGTGTTGGCATCATCGTGGATCTGTGTCACTTGTGAACAGGAGTCATTCATCTCCATTCATTGTAAAGATATATGCCACATCTCCCTGTGTTCTCTGAGGAATGATCGTCCCCCCCTTCATCCCCTGCGATCTGCCATCCATGCCAGCTGTGGCCTGTCCTTTATCATTATGTAGCTGTGACAGTCAGGATGATTTCTCTGCAATGACCCCTGTTGTGTCGTTGTGTTGTGAATGTGTTCTAGGTTCTATATTGGCTGTGAGCTTTGTGCTAACTGGTATCACGGAGATTGTGTTGGCATCACAGAGGCGGAAGCCAAGAAAGTGGATGTGTACATCTGTAATGAGTGTAAACGGTCACAAGAGGGCAGCAGTGAGGAGTTGTATTGTATCTGCAGGACGCCCTATGACGATTCACAGTGAGTTCCCGTGATAACTTCTTATGCACTAACTAGACAGCGCTCGCTGGTCCTGTGCGGTAGATGCTTTGTCTCGTGCCTTACCTTATTAACCCGGCCAGAGCATGCTCTCACCCCTTTCCTGCCAGCTGGTGCAGGTCTGCCAATCCCGGGTCCCCTCTGGTAGTTAAGGATCTTTTATATATGATGCATGTTTTCTGGACTGATAACTTCTAAGCATCATATCTATTATCTGCTTCCTGTCTGGGGAAACAAGCTACGGAATGGCTTCCATCCTCTGGGGGCTTCGGTGGCCTCTGCTGTCTGGCTATGTGTCCTGCCACTCCAGCTGTATCCAGCTTTGTGTAGGGAGCACTGTTCCTGCACCTTAGACGCTCCTTTAGAAATCTTACCATACTTCCTGTACTGTGTTGTGTGTATCTCTCTTCTCTATGCCTGCCGTGTCTTTACTGATGTCTGTTTGGTGTGTGCGCAGATTTTATATCGGCTGCGATCGCTGCCAGAACTGGTACCACGGTCGCTGCGTTGGGATAGTGCAGAGCGAGGCGGAGTTCATAGACGAGTATGTGTGCCCGCAATGCCAGTCCACTGAGGATGCCATGACTGTTCTCAGCCCGCTGACCGATAAGGATTACGAAGGACTGAAACGCTTCCTGAGATCGCTGCAGGTAGGTCCATGACCGTGACGGAGCCATGTTGTTTTGCTCTACTTAGAGGCTGTGATAATGTTAAAGGTGACGACTTGTATGTTCTGGTCCAAAGAAGATTCCCTACCCTGTAGGTCTGAGCCTAGGGGTGACTCTGGACTTCATCTACATTCTCCTATCTGGTCCTCTAAGCTCATCTATGCAAGACTCTCATTTCTGCTGCTGGGTTTGTGTTATCGCCCTGTTGGTCTCAGCATTGCGGCACTATTCGTTAATGGATATTCATAAATGAGTATATTAGGGCTGCGGAAATTAAAGATTCATTTCTCGATTAATCGTTAAACTTTTTGATCAATTTAAAATTATTTTGATCGCTAATGAAAACACTCGCCTCTCCGCCGGCTTCCGGGAGTCCCGTCGGCGATCCGGTGACGTCACGGACATCGACGTCACCGGACTCCTCCCCACTTTCCCAAGTGTCTCCGTCGGCTAACGAAGGGAAGGGGGGAGGAGTCAGGTGACGGCTAACGAAGGGAAGGGGGAGGAGTCCGGTGACGGCGATGTCAGGGACGTCACCGGACTCCTCCCCCCTTCGTTAGTCGTCGGAGCCACTTGGGTCGGTGAGTTTGCCCAAGAAACTTAAAGCACGAGCACCAGCCAAGGCATTACCCTATACACATACAGCACAGCGATGAACTATACACATACAGCACAGCGATGAAGTAATAAAATGAACTCGGATCACACTCATCCAGCATGTTATTATTCTGAGTTGCCCCACCCAAGCGGCGGCCATATTGAGTGGGGCACGTGAGATGAATAACGTGCTGGATTAGTGTGATCCTAGTTCATTTTATTACCTCATCGCTGTGCTGTATGTGTATAGGCCGATGTAGTTGGATCTGTATGTGCGTTTATCATTCATCGATTTTAAAAAATTCCATTAATCGAACACGAAAATGTTCATCATTACCAGCCCTAGAGTATAGACTTATATTGTCACATTCCCGCGTCCGTTCTCTTTTCTTGCATCCAGCAGACAAGTCTTCGAACATTTCCCAGTTCTTCTGTTACCTGTCACGGTGGTACATGCCATGGATCTTCAATAAAAGTGACCCTGTCACTAAGATAAAGTGTGCTAAGCAAGCTGTTCCCGTAGAAGAAGAATGTATATTGTTACCTCTCCCGACTGCCATGCCGCACAGTGCTGCTCTGATATTGAGGAATCGTACCCAGGGAAACCAACACTTCTAGGGGCGTCCATCTCTTGGGGTCCCCCGGCAGCTCTCACAGGTATACCCGCTGACTTCCACATTACAAGAGACATTAGTGACATGGAGGTGGACAGGAGAGACCTGTGAGCGCAGCGGGGAATACTCTTTGTGTTGGTTTCTCTGCAGACTTCAGTGGAAGATTGATGGCAGCCGGAGAGGTCACTATCTTCTCTCTTTATTGGCACAGGCAGCTTTGCAGCCATTTATTTTATTTGGACGGGTCACTTTAAACACCATTGGATGACTGGCGTAACCGTCCAGCTTGCTTATTAAAGGAGAACTATGAGGGGGAGGGGGGAATGATTTCCACTCACCTCATAGTTCTAAGCCGACCTGTGACAATGAGACTGTCACAGGTCGGCTCAGTAGATCGGGAGGTGAGCGAACACATACCGGCGTTCGCTCACCTCTCCATCCTGTCACGGCTCTCTGCCATGACAGGGGAGGGGCTGGATTCCCCTCTCCCCGCTCCGATCCCCCAGCGCTGACTGGCGGAACGGACGGGGGAGGGGGCGGGTACAGCTGGCTCGGCCTCTAGATAGGCAGAGCCAGCTGTCAGTCACGCAGCTGGGCGGATCTCGGCACAATTGTCGTGATCCGCTTCAGCTGCGGCGTCTCAGTATACCGCGAGCTGTAGCTCCCTATATACTGAGCCTAGGGTGACGGGAGGACGCTAGTTTGTGTCCTCCTGTGACCCTAAGGAGAACTATGGGGAAAAACACTGACCCCATAGTTCTCCTTTAAATAAACATTGATTTGATTAATTTGGAGTGTTTGGTATTGTTAACACAGGCTGCAAGCATAAAAGAAAATGGCCGCTGTTATGTTCAGCGGGTCACATGATCCACTTCTTTAACCCTCTGTTATCCTTCCTATAGACTCATAAAGAATCCTGGCCCTTCCTGGAGGCTGTTGATCCTGAGGACGCCCCCGATTATTATGCCGTGATCAAGGAACCAATGGGTAAGGACTAGAGACTGTCTCTTTTTTTATTCTGTACCGCTCTGCTACAGGCAACACAGACAGCGTGAAGTGCCGCTGCGTCGTCCTGTAGCAGTGAAATATTATTTGGGGTCTTGGCGTATGAATATCTGTATGCTGGCCTCCTCCTGTCCTGTAATCTGAGGTCCGGGCGTGTTTGTGATCAGGACACGGATTGCTGGCCACGTACAATAGAATTATTATAGACTGCGAGCGCTGAATATGTTTGGAATGGGGCCGGGGCGCCAGCAGCGCTCTTTCTTTTAGCCGCCGTCGTGACGCGAGCCTTGTCTCACGAAAATCGGCGTTTCAGCCGGGGGGAGCGGACGGAGGTCGTGCGAGTTTTGCAGCGCAGTAAAATCATTGGCTGTTTGTTTGTTGTCCGCCTGGGCCAGCACTTTATCACATCACAAGGCCTCGTTCTGAAGGCTGACATTTTATGACTCTCCCCGGGACAGCAGGAAACACAAACACGGGTCTGGAATGTTCCTAACTGCGCCGGCAATTAGTGTTTGCACAGTTGTTCTGCGAGATTTATTAACCTTGTCACATAGACGTGACTGCTGGGGTCAGGCCTCGGCTCTCACAGCACATCTGAAACCTTTATAGTCCAGACATTGGCTTTGATTATAATGGATGATTCCAGGAACTCTGCTATACCTTCCTTGTGTTACCCCCAAAAACTAAAAGTTTGGGTCACACATAGAGAGGACTTAGTAAATCTCATCTGATGGTGCTAAATTCCTGGATAGAGCACTACAAATCCCAGCAATAATACATTATACAGCGCAATGCAGAATACTGCCAGCTATAATGTACTATTGCTGGGATTTGTAGTCCTCTATAGCTGGTGGTATTCTGCATTGCTGTATAATGTATTGCTGGGAGTTGTAGTCCCCTATAGCTGGTGGTATTCTGCATTGCTGTATAATGTATTGCTGGGAGTTGTAGTCCCCTATAGCTGGTGGTATTCTGCATTGCTGTATAATGTATTGCTGGGAGTTGTAGTCCCCTATAGCTGGTGGTATTCTGCATTGCTGTATAATGTATTGCTGGGAGTTGTAGTCCCCTATAGCTGGTGGTATTCTGCATTGCTGTATAATGTATTGCTGGGAGTTGTAGTCCCCTATAGCTGGTGGTATTCTGCATTGCTGTATAATGTATTGCTGGGAGTTGTAGTCCCCTATAGCTGGTGGTATTCTGCATTGCTGTATAATGTATTGATGGGATTTGTAGTCCTCTGTAGCCGGGGCAATTCTGCATTCATTGCTGTATAATTTTACACTTTCCATTTCACTATATTGCACACACCACACTTTTACTTTTTTACTTCCACCGCTCCAAGCTTGCTCCTGTGATGGACTGCAATCTCAATACAAACTAGTAGTCCCATCACTGGAGCCATTTTTAAAAACGTATTTTATTTTTTTATCCGATTAATCGGCTAACTAATCGATTTAGAAAATAATCGTCGGCTGCAGTTCTACTGTTATATTTCGTTTTTTTTGGGTGGAGTTTCACTTATAAGCGCTCCTTCGTGTTCCTGTAATTGGGTTATTTATGCTTTTTCTTTATTTTATCCCGCATGTCACAGACCTGTCCACCATGGAGGAGAGAATCCGCACCCGCTACTACAAGAAACTGACTGAGTTTGTCGCTGACATGACCAAAATATTTGACAATTGCCGCTACTACAACTCCAGCGAGTCGCTATTCTGCAAGAGCGCAGACTCCCTGGAGAAGTTCTTTGTACAGAAGCTGAAAGTGTTTAAAGCCAGCAGGTGAGCGATGGGGGCAGGATGGGGCGGACATTTTTTATAGTTTTTATTTGTCTTCCATAACCGGCATGTAGTCACCAGGCCTTCATTAACAACACGTGACTTCTGGCACATGACGTCCTCCTCCTGCCCTCTGCAATGTCCGCTATCCTAACCCATGTAGTACAAAGGTGACAATCGGTTCACTGATACTGGGCCAGATTGTTTACACAGTGCAGAGAATCCCTTCATAGGCCGCCATTATGACTCCCCCCATCACGGCTACACTCCTCCCACAGA